TTCTGTTAAACAAGGTCTTCTCTTTGGAGAGGTGGTCAGTGTATCTTGGGATTTTCAGGTAGCCACAAGTTTGGCAAACATTGCCGTTATCAAAACAATACCTGTCCTAGAAATGAATGTATGGTATTGTGTATGCAAGTGTTTGTCTTACAGTGATGCATTTTCAAAAATGTGAGATGGTCATCGTGTTTCCTCAGGTTTCTTTCAGTAGATCTGGTGGTAAATTCTTGAACTACTAAAGGGAAATCCCTTACTACCGAAATGACCTCAGATTCTTTTTGGAAAGAGAAGGGTAGAAATAAATGCAATACACAAATTAGTTTCCTATCCAGTGAACCATCTAGTGTGATGGTTAGAGGTTTCTTGGATCATTGGAATCATAAGGAGCTCCAGTCACTGTTTTTGATTTATCCATGTCAAAATGAGGGGGGAAAACACAAGGATGTGGTTTTTCTCTTTGAACCAATAGGGAAAAACTTAAATCTAAAATATGAAGTACAGGCTTTATTCATTCAACACATGTTTATGGAGCATCAGTGAACAAGGCAGACAAACCCTGTCCCCCACCCTTGCTGAGTGTGCACTCTAGTGAGGACTACAGATGCTATAAATAAAACAACTTACTTAGAAGATACCATGGTCGGGCGGGGGGCAGGGGTGTGGTGTGGTAGGAATAGAGCAGGGCAGAGGGAACTAGGAGCTCCAGATTTGGAGGGCAGAGGGAAGATTGCCGTTTTAAATAGGATATCAGGGTGGGCTTTATCTAGAAGGAGCAATTGAAACCAGGAAGCTGCTGAGGGATTTGGCCATGCACTTATGCGGGATAGAACAGTCCAGGCAGAAGGCAGGTGCACTGGAAGTGCCTGGTAAAGCAGGAGTGTACCTGGCATGTTGGAGAAAACTGAAGGCCAGTGTGCTGCTGCAGAGGGAGTGGGGAGGAGGGAGAAAAGAGATAAGGCCACAGGAAGTGGGGTCCCGGCCACACAGGGCCTTGTAAGGAGTTGGCTTTCCATGACACTGTGAGTAAAGCTCTGGAGGGATTTGAGGAATGAGCTGGCTTCATTGTGTGCCCTGGCATTCATCAGGTGTTTGGTAACTATTTTTTTTCTTAAATTTCATATTTTTTCTGAAACCATACATTCCTTCCTTTTTTCCCCCTCTCTGAAAATTATAGCAACAATAGCTCATACTTGCTATGGTGGGTATGCTGTCAATCACTGTACATTGATTAACCGTGTGACCCTTCACAACAGCTGTAAATAGTACACAACAGCTTTAAACCATCATTTTATAGATGAGGAGACTGAGACCCTGAGAGCATCAGTGACTCACCCAAGGAGCTTGAGTCACTCAAGGGCAGAGTCAGTATTCGAGCCCAGGCAGTGTATCTCCCAATTACAGCAGGGTTTGCTGTTCGTCAGGATGTGGGAGGAGCTAGGAGACTTGCACGTATATGTTGAAGCAAGAATGCTAGCTCCTGCTGCATCTCCTCCCTACCCACAGAGACCACTGGTGTAGGTGCTCTGGGTTGGAAGCAGCACAGTCAGGGTGACACTGTGCTTGGGTCTGTAGTTACTGTCATGTGGCATGATAGAACTCTTGCCTACAGGTAGAAATTATGATGAGGGACCTGAATTGGCAACTTTCACTTCACTCTCATTTCCCTCCAACATCCAGTTATTAGTCATTTAATGTCACTCCAGTTTTTTTGTGGCTTTTAATGATGTCATCTCATGAATTTGCTGTTGGATTTTGAAAGGAGGAACCTCAGCTTCTAATAGAAAGGTATGAAGTGAAATAAGCTCTAAGGAGGAAGTCATTATAACCTCTTATGAGAGTATATAAATATGCACCTATTTGACAGATGAAAAACACTGGGCTTACTTTAAGTCATGGTATTTTATGGCAACAGGCATTCCGATAGCCAGTGGAGGTACATTTTTGAAGTGCTAGTAGAAGGCAAGTCCTCCACTGGGGAATTTTCTTTGTGATTTTGCTAAGTAAAACTTTCTTGCAAATATGTAATATTGATAGCACACTGCTCTTACTAATATATTGGAGCTGACTTCCTGTTTTCCAAGGAAAATGAGAATGCCTCTAAGTGCCTGTGTGGCATAAATTCTACTTTTAAATAAGACTCCACACACAAGGCAAGGACAGTACAAGCTTTTTAGGAAAAAAAAAAAACTGATGCAAGAAAAACCAAATCTAAATATTGATTTACATTGGATCATAGCTCTTTAGACAACACCTCTTAGGGCCCACTGTTTCCCAAGCAAGAAACTCTGTGTTCTGGGTAGTTGTAAAAGAAATAGAACATGCTTCCCTTGTGTGTTTCAGTGGATAGCGTACAAAAAACACAGGTTAGAGTCAGATCAGGCATGAATTTAAATCTCTTTTCCTATTTATTGGTTCTGAGACCTTGGGCAAGTTATTTAACCTTCTAAATCCCACTTTCCCGTCTGTAAAGTGAAAATGGGAATATTCAGTTTGCAGGATTCTGAGAAGTAAAACCTAACATTAAACATAGACCCTCCGACCCCAGTGGGTACTTAGTAAATATTTCCTTCACTGTTGTCTGGGGTCACACAGCAGGGAATGGAGGAAGGATGAAAATATGTAACAGTCTCTTAGGAAAAAATTGTAAAGTCATAGCGGGCAATTCTTACCCATTATGACAGTTATTTCATGTAGTGTGGAGATAGAACTGAATTTAGACTCATTTCCCCAAGGTCCCTATTGAGAACCTACTGTGTGCCATGCCTGATTCCAGATGCTGGGGAAACACAGTGTCTACGCTCATGATCTTTAAAGGTTAGTGAGAGCGGACATTGACCAAATACTCACACTAATCAGACCAATAAATGTCAAATTGCAACTGTGTTAGTGCTGTGAGACAGAAGAAAATGATGTTACGAAATGGTGTAATAGACAAGTTTGACCTAATCAGGGGGATCCAGAAAACCTTCCTTGAAAAAGATGGCAGTAACATCAGTATCTTAAAGGCAAGGAGGTGCATGCAACCCTCAGTATAACATCAGGGTCCCTTGGACCCCATTTTAATTTTGGAGTTTCTTTTTTGAGATGCCTTAAGTGCTTTTAAGGATGGCTGTTGGATAAAATTTAATCTTTCCTAGAGGTCTTACAAGGAAAAAACAGAACATTATTTATTTTAGGGCAAAGAACAACTCATACTATCTTAGCATTACCACATAGTTCTTTTGGACCTTTTGTACATCTAAGACACATTTTGACCTCTTAGTGATCTTATTTTTTCTGTATCTAGAAACATTTTCCTGTTTCATCATCTGAGAAATTTGTTCATTCATGCTTATCAATTCCCAACCATACTAAAATAAAAGTTAGAAAAGCAAAGAGTGATGGAATCAACTCTAAGGCTGATGCAATACTGAAATGTTATTTTATCTTTGAGTTTTCTTGCGGCATGACCCACAGTTTTTTTGTATCTTTCAAGGAGGTATAAAGGAAGGCACGAGATGCTTTTATCTAAATTTTTAGAAAATCTCTAGTTGAACACAGTTGAGAATTGATAATTTTCTCCCATGATAGCAAAGAAAAGGAAACTGATCAGGACCTCTGATGATTACCACATGATTCAGAAGATAAATGCCAAAAGACAGAAGCTCTCTAGACTCTAGACGATGGTGAAATTGATTGTGTAAGTGAAATCTCAGATTCTTCAGATGAAGGTATCCCAGATGAATTTTCCTCAACTCAGGAATCAGTGAGTCAGTAATACATTTCAAAGGATGAAAAGGAAATACGGTATTTGTATCCAGTTAGTCATTCAGTAGGAAATACTTCATCGTACAACATTTTGCAGCAAAAACCTCTGAGAGCAAGGGAATTAAGCAGAGGACGGGCATTGTCACACTTGGATTTTAAAAGTGATGATGGTGTTTCAGGTGATTTTGAGCAGGCATTTGTATATAAGGGACTGGGCCTGGTGAGAGATTTCTGGCTGGAAGTGTGGACTTGAGGTTCATTTGCATGTAGTTCAGGTGAACATCTTGAGTCATGAAAATCTTGTGGAAAAATGAAATCAGCTGTGGGGAGGGGTATAAAGTGAGAACATCTGAGTCCCAGTGTCTGGAACCAACAATGCCTTGGGGCCTGAAGAGACAATTAACTTGTGAAGGAGACAGAGGAAGAACAGTGGCATGTGTAAATTACTTTGGGCAGTATGGCCATTTTCATGATATTGATTCTTCCTAACCATGAACATGGAATGTTTCTCCATCTGTTTGTGTCCTCTCTTATTTCGTTGAGCAGTGGCTTGTGGTTTTCCTTGAAGAGGTCCTTTACGTTCCTTGTTAGTTGGAATATTATGCAGCCATCAAAAATGATGAGTTCGTGTCCTTTGTAGGAACATGGATGAACCTGGAAACCATCATTCTCAGCAAACTGACACAGGAGCAGAAAATCAAACACCACATGTTCTCACTCATAGGCGGGTGTTGAACAATGAGAACATGTGGTGTTTGATTTTCTGCTCCTGTGTCAGTTTGCTGAGAATGATGGTT